ATTCCCCATTACAGAACTTTTTTGAGGGAGTGTTCAATTTTCAAAGTGTCCGGCAGGTAATTGAACAATTTCAAGGCTATGTAACTGAAACTTTTCTGCCCGACTGTTTCGTAAATTTTTGGAACAACTTACCTATTTTTCTATCTCATACTGTAAGGATGGGTAAGTACTTTTAATTTTTTTTGGTTCAAATGTTGTTTATTACATACTTATACGGTATAGAGTTGTCTTACGCCCATTACATGTGTTTCAGAGATCTTAGATCAATATATTGTCTCCATCATACATTTTCATCTAGAATAAAACCAAGAAATCCATTCAAAAAAACACTTTAATGTGAGATTTCCACTTGACAGTTCAATAAAACGAAGACACGTGTTTCGCTATAGCATAGCTATAGCAATAGCATCTTCAGGCGTCACAATACTGACCAAACAAAATCTGTGTCATGCTGAAACTACCACATGAGCATGACACAGAATTAATTTACTCAGTATTGTGACGCCTGAAGATGCTATTGTATAGCGAAACACGTGTTGCGGTTTTTGTAAACTTTAAAGTGGAAATTTCACCTGCTTGTTAATTTTATGTGTCCAAACGATAACGATTTAGGAAGTTCGGAACATTCAGTTTTTCCAATCATTTAATATTTTTTGATATCTTATATGATCAAATATATCTAAAATGCCAAAACTAATTTGCGTAATGGAAATAATGTCACGATTTCAAATGCATATTAAAATTATATCAAAACAAACAAACGGCTGATGTTAGTAGGCACGCAAGTGTATATAAATCTATTCATGAAAAAGGAATATGTATGACTACCTATATATTTTCCAATTTTCTGTATTTTCTATGCAGATTATCACTTCATTAGAAACCTTTCTGTGTTCAGCCTGTATAATTTTCTAGGAATTTATGCAGCAAGCGCAAGAAACTCGGGGTTATTTACGCTGTTGAAACAATTTGCATGAAATGGTATGGTTTGCTGAAATTATACTCTGGTCATAGATTATACAGGGTTGTCCAAATCATGACGTCAAAATAAAAACTTAGATTCTTCACTTCGAGATGTATCCACATTTACCTCATATACGATTATTTCATTAGATTCTTCAATATTTTCGAAGTGTTTAAAAATTTTTCTGAAATTTTCAATAGGTTTTTCAGATTTTTTTTATAATCATTATGAATTATTCTGTCACTTATAAAATAATCAGTTTATTATGCAGGAAATTTCGGTTACATCCGGAGGGAGATACTCGCGAAGAACAGAAATTCAACAATTTTGTTTTAATTTTAACGAAAAACACTTTCTCGTTGCCACTTTCCAAGTTGTATAAGATGGCGTTTACAAATTTTCAATCCGACGTTTTGTCCCGCTTGGGACGGTTTCCGATTTTTCCATACTAGCGCTCTTCTCATCTTGAACACGTTGTATATGTTGTTGCAAGCACATATCGTGCAATTTTTTCACGATTAACCACAATAGAAAAGAGGAGGAAAAACGTGTGAAATGTCGAAATTTTCGCTATCCAGACCACTCTGAATATAACTGGTGTTTTTTTTCCAACACCAAATCGTTTTTTTTTTTATTTAGGAAAGAAACAAGCACGTACAGGTATATTCCTGACAGTTCACATCACTGTGGACAGCATAAACGTGCTGGGTTGAAATTTTTAGTGCATCGTCTTTTGACTTTCCCTCTAACACATGATAGGTTCAAAAAAGAAAGACGTACAATACAGGAAATAGCAGCCACTAACGGTTTCTCGAGGGGTATTGT